ATGTATGAATATAATATACAAGTTTCACTTTTTAAATGGAATTACTGAAATAAATCTACTTTTTCATGATATTCTAATTTTATGACCAGCACCTGTAAGCTCCATCACRGGAAACCAGACCGTCCTGGTGTTCTCAGAAAGGAGGTCATCAGTGGCGTCCAAAGGGGTAAACTTGTGGGCTTCAGAGCTGTCCAAATGTCATGGTGGGAAAACAAAAATAAAGCAATCCACATGCATGAAAATGTTGCCCCCAAGCATAGTTATCTGTTGCCACATGACAGCTAGTAGCTTTGATTTTTTTATAGGCTGAAACCAGAAGACTTGGTCAGGCATTAAAACATTATTGAACATTACTGAAAAGTTGTGGGGCTGTCATTAAAATGCAGCACATGCAGGTCTCTGTCAGGTTTTGATTCTACATCGTACTCAGTCTTATTATAGTTAGTGCATGATAACAGGACAAGTCTTCATCCTTCCTTGTTTTGTTTTTTTTTCAGCATGCAGACACTTGTCTTTAACTTACAGGACAGTTGGCCCAAATGTGCAACATTGAGAGGCTAAAATAYATTCATTCGCAGTTAACTCCTGCAGCTGCAGCACGGCCTTCTTGTCTGACTGCACCTACAGTAAAGACGAACTGTTTATGCGTAAAAAAACAGCGCATCTTTCAATCTTGTTTACGCACATTTTTGACGTCTCCAGCTTTCCCCCCACAAGTTTGAACTTAATGTTTCGCCACTAAGCAACACAGTTAGCCTAAGCCAAGCGGTGCTAAGCCGTGACATTTTCTGGTAGAAATGAGTTCAGGTATCCCGTTGTCAAAAGTGCAACCGTCTCCCCGACCAGAACAGCCCGCTGTCTGCGAAGGAATCTGTCCGATAATGGACTCAAGGCAAACAGCAGGTTGACCTGAGCTCGAGTGTTGAAGCTGGCCTGTCTGGTGTTCAGTTGAGTTTTAGTCCAACGAAAAGTAAAACAATTCTTTAGTTACCTTAGTTATAGGGTCTCCATCTTTACAAGCTGCTGTCGCTGCCTCGTTAGACAAGCCTTTATCGCTCATGGTTTAAATGTTATTTACTAAAAATACGTTTAGGTTAGAAAGCAGTTTTCCGAGTCTGAAAGCTCGGACTGGAGAGGCGGCTACGGAAGTTTTAAAGGAATTCCTTTCCGGTTTGAGATTTTCAAAATAAAAGGCATCATTGCTGGTTGCTGCCAAGACCAAATATTTTAAAAATTGTCTAGAGAATTCATAAAGTAATTCTGAAACTATACAATTTTTAGACTTGTGTTTTGTTTGAAATGCTGTGAAAGGTACWTTGATATTGGTATTTTGCTTTTTACCAATAAAATACATTTAAAATGCTGTAATGCAGTCATTTTTAACACTCACAGACCTTCATGTTCGCAATGTCGGGCTAAAAGCATTTCATCATATTTTTAAACACTAACTCATTAACACATACATGCACAGTTTGCCATGTTAACTGCTTTATTGTACACAGGCAGGGAAGTTCTGATATGGAACAGAGGTGACAGGAGGCTACATTACTGACTTAACTATAAAAGTGCTTTACTACAGATATACATTGTGATGCTTCAAGAGATCATTATAAACCGCCTAATGTAAACCAGACAAACAAATAAAAGTAACTTTTACAATCCCACTGTAAACCTCAGTATCCACAGAGTTTGTGAGGCAGCTTGGCTTCAAGTGAGAATTGGTGGCAGGCAAACCATATTTTTCCATACTAACTAATATGGGAATTATTAAAAACTTTTATTTTATTGCTAATTGTTTATTAGTGTTCTCCAGATTAAAAAAGAAAAAAAACTCAAACTCAATTCATTTATAAATAATGACGCCAAGCTATGACACTAATTATATTTACAATTTCAGGATATTCCTCATTAGATACTAGAAACATTAGATTTGAAATTTCCCTATCTGTGTAGGAAGTGACATGAACTGCCTTTTTTATAAAAAGTAAATAATTAATTGTAACAGAATTTTAAGTTTAAATGCCTCTTGAAAATTTCTTTTAATATTACAACAGCACTAATGTTAAGAAAAAAAAATATTCCCGTTGAAGCCCACAAGTCAATCAGCCTTTTTAGCTTAAACACCCACATAAAACAGACAGGTTGGAGGAGGTGGGAAAGCCCTTTTCTACAGCGACAGCTGTTCTCAGGAAGCAGGTCTTCAGTAGCTGCGTCCAAACAGAGTGTAGTACTGCGCCGGCTCTTTGCCACTGACACACATCTGACCAGGCTGCAGGGTCTTCAGGGGAGAGAACGGGATGCAGAGACTCTTGGCTCCCATGGATGGAGCGCCAGGCTCCAGGTCCTGGTCCCTACAGGAGAGAGAGGAATTTAAAAAACCTTTTATTTTACTGTAGTTGAAATGTTCTTTCTAAAACAAACATGTCTTCCAAACAACTGAAATTAAAAAGGTCTTGACAGGTTGGACGTACCTTGTGGTAATCTTCTTGATCCAGTCCTCACATTCGATTTGACCACAGAACGGGATCTGAACAATCTGTTGAGCAAAATAAACGCACCATTGATTTTTCTCCTCTGCTGAAGGACGAGGTGTAACGTCTTCATCATAGTTTGGTAACTCACTTTGCCCTGGTCCAGGTCTTTCTGGAACTCTTCCATTGTGTCTGCAGCCACCATGTGACTCTTCAGGTCATGTGAAGCTCTGACAAAAACACACAATTAAAAACTTAAAAAAATAAATAAATAAAAAATAAACT